GTTGGGATTGTTGGTGCTCGGGAGTTTTGTAAATGCGGCCTTGGGCTCTTGCCAGGTGTGTCCTCGAGGGCAGAGGACTGATGACAACAAGATCTGTCGCGAGTGCGTCGGGTCCCCAGAGCGCTATGACTGGCTCTACCTGGGCTTTATGGCCATGCTCCCCCTGGTTTTACACTGGTTCTTCATCGAGTGGTACTCGGGGAAAAAGAGGTTAGTATGCTCTCCCGTTAGTTATTTGTAAAGAAATTGGGTACCATGCGTGATCACTCTGGTCTCTGACTGGCTTTCACAAGCGCTGAAAGCTGCCCTCATGCAGCAGCACCTCAGTTTGGGGTGCGGTGGAGTCTATTTGAGGCCATTAAAATTTGTGCTTTATTGTGTAAGGTATTGCCTTGGTCGACAACTCTTTGTCTGCCATTTTTTTGCCTATTTCTATGGGGGAAAAAAAAGGTGCTTTATTTCCTTTATTTTTATTTTTCCTTTTTATTTATCTGTTTTTTCACTGTTTTTACAAGGGTGATGCAATATATTTCACATTTTGATGAACGTCCTCTTTACAAATTGGGAATCTTCATGTCTGTTCCTTTTAAACATCGAGGTAGTTTTTTTTTTTCCTCTTGCTATGCAAGGAGAGTTCTTCACATTTAGGAATCGAAGGCTGGATTTGTGCCACGCTTTTGCGGTACCTTTAATTCCTGCAAGTGGCAATGGGGATGCTTCTCAACTGAGCAGCTGCTGAACAGAATCTGAATTGTTTATAATTTATGTAGGAGTCAGTGTATTTGTCATCCAATATGTTGGACGTTAATCTCTATAAAATAACCCAAAGTTTTCTAGCAGGTTTATCGCGTTCTCAGTCACGGTGCCCGTTAACTCTGTGGGTCTCCCCTCCTCGCTGGGAGGTGGTAGCCCAGTACAGCGCGTGTCCGGCTGTTCCCGCAGCTCCAGCGCGCTGTTCCAGCACATCACCGCCTTGCTGGAGTGCAGCGTTGCAGCCGTGGTCACCCTGCTGGTGAGCGACCCCGCGGGCTCCCTGCACATCCGTTCCTGCAAGGTAAAGAAGCTTTCGGACTGGTACACGATGCTCTACAACCCCAGCCCGGACTACATCACCACGGTGCACTGCACTCATGAAGCTGTCTACCCTCTGTGAGTAGAAAGGCTGTTCTGCTCCTGTCTGTCCCTTTCCTTTGTGCAGGTTTGTTTCCGAACAAATGGACCCTTTTCAAAGGAAAAGGATGTGTTTGGTTATATATAACTTGGAGCAATAGGTAGCAAAAATCTTGAAGCCTGTCAATTTCTTGAACTGTCTTGTGTGTGAAACACCTGACAACTTTTTGAATTGGAACAAACCAGCTATCTAGCAGTGTCTTTTTTAGGTGTATTCCTGTTGCAGGAAAATAGGCAGGGGAAGCCCAACGTGTCACAAGATACTGGTGTGATTGTAATTGCTGGTGTTCTTACACGTGATGCAAACCTCACAAATACGTATTCCAGGGAGCTTTTTATGAGCTGCTTTTTATGGCAGCTTCTTGCCGCCAAGGAAGGCGGCACAGTCAGACTGTTTAGCTGTTAAGACTCATTTTTGCTCCCATCTCTGGTACATCGTGGCTGTTTGACCTAGGAGGAGGCAATCTGGCATTCTGTGACTGCATATTCCCCTCCTTAGACTGTAGAATTGACTCTAATCCCAAATTTTCTGTATCTGAGGGAGTCTGCAGAGCATAGAGGACTGCAAATATTAATCAGTCTCTCTTGTATTTGCAGGTACACAATTGTGTTTATATACTACGCCTTCTGCCTTGTTTTAATGATGCTACTTCGACCTTTCCTGGTGAAGAAACTCGCCTGTGGCTTAGGGAAGTCTGACCGCTTTAAGAGCATTTACGCAGCCCTTTATTTCTTCCCGGTGCTCACGGTGCTGCAGGCGGTCGGAGGAGGCCTGCTCTGTGAGTTCTCTGCTCGTAGCATTAGAACAGTGCCATAATCACACGTTAACAGACAAGCAGAGGGGTGGGGAGTGAAGGGACAACCTCTAGCAGCACAAGCCGTGTCCCCCTTTCTCCAGAAAGGGAACAGAGCCGGGTATGAATGGAAACTGGATGCTTCTTTTAGAGGGAATTAGTTCTGGGAATTAACTGTCCTTTGCTTTAGCTTCCCTGCTCAGGTGAACTGCTTCCTCTCTTCCTTTTTCAGCTAGTGATGTAGCGTACAGTAACTCTAACTAGAAATGTTAACATCATTTGCACTTGTCAGAAGTTAACTTTAAAATCTAGTTAAAGCATGGAATATCATCCTTAGCTTATCCTTTCTGCTGCATGTTTGATATCATGCTAACAGGCAGGCTACAGTAGCTTAGTTTAGGTGTGTGAGGTGCGGAACAAGGATATATATTTCACCAGAGATCCTGCCTTCTTTTTCCTTCTAAAATGTTCAATGTTTGCCTCTAGATTATGCCTTTCCATATATCATACTGGTACTATCCTTGGTTACGCTGGCTGTGTACATGTCTGCTTCTGAAGTGGAGGTAGGTAAATGTTTTTCCTGTTAAAACTCATAACATAAAAATACATAAATAAGTAGAGCCTTTGATCTCCTGCATTTTCTCAGCAGTGCACTCTCTATTTAAGTCTTTCTGACTTCTCCTCTTAGCTGGAGGAAGCTCCTACAAGATTTTCCTCTTGTGGCCTGCTGAGAAACTGTATTATATATGGGACAGACTCAAACTCTGGGGGCTTCACATGGTGTCTCTGTGCCCTTGCAGTAGCTTCTCTTAAACACCAGGTGTTTGGTGGCAGGCTGAATGCTAACAGGATACTCTGTTTATTTTGCAAGTCTTTCAAGGATCTTCTTGTCAGGAAGAAAAGACTTGTTGTCCTCTTCAGCCACTGGTTACTTCACGCCTATGGAATCATTTCCATTTCCAAGCTGGATAAGCTCGAGCAGAACCTCCCTTTACTGGCCTTGGTACCTATTCCTACGCTCTTCTACTTGCTGACTGCCAAGTACACGGAGCCATCCCGCATCCTCGCGGAAAGTGGAAATGGACATTGAAGAGCCTGTGCCAACAACGCTGGCCTCATAGTCTGGATGAAGCAAGTTCAGTTCTTTGTGTACAAGACCTCAGGGTGAAACACCTCTGAGTTTGTGGAATACTAAAAAGCTGCACTTTTTATTCTTCATAAATAGATTATCTAGATCAAAGGGAATGTCTTTGTATCTATTTATCACTGTGAATCTGTATAAAAACTTGTGACACATTCTAGTATGCTTTTTTTTTTTTTTTTGCTTGTAGATGTTTATTTCCTAATACAGTATTTCAGATGTTGTTTGAATAAAACAGAACTTGGTTCTAAAGTTTTTCTCTTCCCCTAAAACTTCTGCCAGCAAACCCCTTGTTCCAGGTAAGCCTGGGAAGTATCAGGTAAGTAGATATGGACACAGCTCCATGTGCCCCATCCCGCACAGGCACTGTGGCTGCCTCATGCTGTGGGAGAGCCTCGTGCCTGCTGGGTTGGTGTGTGAGCTGTGCCAAAGTGCACAACATTTGCTGTTTGCTTTTTTATTTTTTCCAGGTGGACCAGTGTGATGTGTGGCCACAGCAGTAGCCACAACACAAGAGCAGCTGGGGTCAGGCAGGGGTGGAATTTAGCAGCTGAGAAAGGAGAGGAATAAGCACAGCTGAGGCACAAATGCTATCCCAATCACACAACTTTATATGATACCATTATTTGAATGCTATAAACAGAGTGACTTGGAGATCTAGACAATGTGGGCTGCTTTGAGGATAAACTAAACCCACTGTAGACAAAGAAAAAATAGCCCAGATTAAAAAAAAGGTTTAAATTTTGTTAAATATAATACTTGTTTCCTTCTCTGCAATGCCCGTTAACAGACAGCTTCACTGTCTCTAAAAACAGTGCAAAAACCAAAATAAATTTTGCATGCAGAAACAAGGTTTTATTCCAGGATTAAGGAAGTGATCTCCTTAAGGAAATCAAGCAAATTCTGTCCATACTGTTACCTACAAAATGTAATTTGCAGACACTTGAATCTAGAGGGCAGTTTTAAAACTGCACTTTTAACTTTGCATATTAAAGTACTAATTTTCCATACCTGCCACTTTCACAGACACACTTCTCTTTAGGCACAAAACTCTGCTTAGAAGGTTCTATATTTGCACACCATGGCACCTTAGTACGGGTGCAGGGGGTAAGTGAGCAGCCCATGGAGCAGCACGCAGAAGAAAGCCACTCACAAGCGGGCACTGATGCTACTTGTCCACGTTTATGTGTATTCCTTATGGACAACATGGACAAAGTTAGACTGGGGGTTGTGTTTGAAAAGAAAAGCAACAACAGATTTCAGGTACAAATGAGCTTTAGTGAAGAGTGCAGCTCTTGGTTAGGGTAGAGAGATGAAGAATCGTAGTAACTTCAAATGGCCAAGGATCAGGGAGTGAAGTAGAGTTTGCAGGAACTAACTGTGCACAGCAGAACCAAAGGTTTACCTTTCCTTCTGGGCACTAATACTTGAGTCTTCAGCTGAATCTGGAATATAAAATGCAAATTAAACTCCATCAACTGCTCTCGCTAACATTAAAAAAAAGGAGGGGAGGGGAAAATTGATTTTTTTTTTAAAAAAGGGCAAAACTCAATAACAGCCATAGAGGCAGAGCCATAGAGGCAGATGTAGTTGCATAATTAGAGAAACGTTACCCAGACTCAAGGATTTCAAAGCAGCCTGAATGCCCCAGCACTTAGCTCTGCAATGTGACTAAACACAGATTCTGTAACAGATCCTGTGTCCATAGCAGCAGACAACAAAGCTGTGACTTGTTATGGGTAAAGACTCTCTGCACTAACAGTGAACGCCAAAGTCTGCAGGATTTGAATTCAAAAGAGGACATGAAGCAAGTGATTTTGCTTGTATGAGCATACAGCCCCCTGTGTCCTATCACCCTCCAGACAGCAATATAAAATATTGCTGATTTAAATGGAAACTGCAGTACAGATTGCTCATATGTAAAATTCCAGAGACCATAAACATTAATTAACCATTAGTCATGCAGTGATAACCGTGCAGCAATGAACTGCAGGAGAGAGGGTTTGTTAGTTTTATTTATCCTTTGTGCAAAAGCTGAAGTAAATTCTGCAAAGAGCAGTGACCCTCCTAGGTATTTTCTACAGCACCTCCCCCTTACTGTCATTATCACAAATCTCAAGGAAGTGGAAACTAAATATAATAAGGCATTGTGTTATAAGGCATGCCTGATTCTGCTAATAAATACATCAGCTTTTCCACTGTGACTGCATCTAGGGCTGTAAGTAGGATGATTTTGTAGACACAGCTACACTACTGTTTTCTAACAAGCTGCTAAAATGAATATACTCAGCAGACGTCCAATGGGGTTAAAAAAGAAAAAGCAGAAAAGGAAAAGAATAAATTTGCTGTGTCTTACAGTGAGCCACTCTGGATGCTTTTTCAGCTAGAGAATTAAGTCCTTCTAATTTGTTTTGTAGCCTCCTATTAATATCACTGAGTTTTTCCTCTCGTTGTCGAATTTTTGTTATTAGAGCAGTCACTGCTTTCAGTATTTCCCGCTCATTCTCCAAAAATTCCTGTTATGAGACAAAGTAGAATTTCTTTTTTTCTTAAAAATAAAGAACTCATAAAATATTAAGACACGTGTTTTGTTTATCTTGTTTTTCCATAGCTTGCCTGGCCACCAAACCTGTAGCTTTGCTGGAAGCTTTTCATTAACTACCCAATATTGTCATTGAGCAGCTAGAAAACACAAGTTCAACACTTTTCCCCTGCATGACTTTTTAAAAAGTGTAGTGACATATTTGCAATATGGAATTTTATCTTTGGCATGGTAAGCAAAGAGTTTACGCAAAGCAGTAGCATATAAAACTGAAAATCACCTCTTGCATAGAGCTGTCCTCTGACCATCCCTTCAGAAGAAGATCTACAACAGAATCAAAAGTTAAAACATGCTAGGGAGCTCTGCAAACAAGACATAAGGTCTCAAAGATATTATTTTTTAAAGAAGAAATCACTTTCTGTTTTGAAATATTTCTTAAGATAATTACCATGAAACACTGCTAGGTCATTCAGGATTTTGGCTGTGGCTGACTTGTGATTTTCTGCTTCAAAATTAATTGCAAAAATATCTTCTTTTATCTGTGCATTGCACTGTGAAAAAATACATACAGACAAGAACTTGTCACAGTTTTAATGATTCTAGATGATAGTTCCTCATTTTCTAGAGAGACCAGAAAGAAAAAAGGTTTTATTTATTTAATTAAACTTACAGATCATTTTCTAGAGAGACCAGAAAGAAAAAAAGGTTTTATTTATTTATTTAATTAAACTTACAGATGTACAGGATTAATGGACTTGCTCAGGACTCACTCTCTTTGACAACAGCATCCTTTTGAGCTTGTTGAACAAATTTTGACAGTTGCCAAAATAAACACACATTAGCTGTGTTTATAAACACAGCAAATAAAATGGGTCAGGGTGCAGAGAGCAACAAAACGGCGCCAGGGGAGTCAGGCCATGCAGTGAAGCTGCTCCCCACTCTCCTCCCCTTGGAAGGATGGATTCATCCACCATGGGGAAATGGAACTAATTCTCGGCTCGTCTTGTCCCCTGGACAGGCTGGGCTAGGTGGCCCAGATCAGACACGAGAAAAGAGCATTTCCTAGTGCAATTGGGACATTAAAATAAAGAAAATCCAACCTAGAGCCTCTCAGGTCTGCTAGTGAACTGCACATAAAGGGAGAAATATTTGTGCCGTAAATAAGGGTTTCCTTTCTGATGGAAGCCTTTGTTTCCATGAGGATATAATGAGATAAAGCCACGGAGCAGCTGGTGCCCAGCACCTCCAACGCCGGTCTCCGCAGGGGTCGGCTCTGAACAGCAGCCTGGCACCGAGCAGCTTTTAGGGACGCTGCTTTTAGGGGCTTTCCCTGGGGCTTTTATGGAAAAGATCCACCAGCCCAGGGCCCCAGACTCCTGCAGAATATTTCCCAAGGCAGCTTTGGAAATGTTGGCAGCTTAAATTCCCTTCCCAAAAGTAAAGGAGGAAATTTTGGTATCTAAACACAGTCATTTCCAGTGAAGATTTAGTACCTGAGTGCTTAGACCATGGCTGTGAAAACAGGAATGGGATGCAAAATCAAATGCTTAGCTAGGAGGTTAAGTGCCCCAAAAACGTCTTGTTTGAGACCAGAGGTAGCTGCACCAGGGAAAGGGCAGAGGTTTCTCCGCTCATCAGAAGTCAACAGGAAAATAAATGTCCATCTAATCAAAAAGTGCCTTTTCTTCCCTGCTGTTTTGCTGAGAGGTCTGACCAGAGGGGCCATTTTGTTGAGTGGCCCCTGAAGAGGATTTTATTCTTGATTAATCCTCTCTGATTTACAGTGATAAAAACAGCATGTAATCACAGAATACTTGAGGTTGGAAAGGACACTGAGAGGCCATCCCACTGCTCAAAACAGACCCAACTTTGACAGAAGATTGGGTTGCTCAGGCCCTTACCCAGTTGAGCTTTTAATATCTCCAAGGATGGAGGTCCCTCTTACAGCCTGGTCATGTTTATCCGCACACAGTTTGGAGGGCAGGAGCTCACCATCGACTTCACCTGGGAAGCTACAGCATCCCCTAGCTGGGTATGGGCTTCTGGCAGCACAACAGCTACCAACACCCCACTTTGGGAATAAAAAATATGGCACCAGAACAGGAACTTCATAGGGGGAGGGAACGTTGTCATCCCTCAAGACACTCACGGCTTTTAACCTGCAGTTCTCAGTGTGCACAAGGTCCAGCTTCCTGTTGATCTCATAGATGTCTCTTTCCAGCCACTTGGCGCTCTCCGTATGCTGTTTCAGTTGGTCCAAGGCAGCGCCGCGCTTGATCCGCAACTTCTTCCTCAGCTCCCGCTGTAAACAAACCCCTGAGCGCTAACAGATCTGAACCCCATTTCTGCACTCTAATTAAACAAACTGGAAAGGATTTTTATTCTGCGGGACCTCTCATTTAAGACCCGAGGGATGCAAAATCAAGCATAAGGGCAGCTTGCTACAAATGCTGGGCCCCAGGC